AACCCACGGGTTGACCCACGGGTCGACCCAATTTGACCCTGGCCCGGTGAGAAAAATGGGCCGCACGCACCCGTCGGGCCGACCGCTATTAGGTAACGGGTTGGAGGTCAAATTGTGCCATTTTTTCCTTTAGTTTGCGAAATGCGCCTATTTTCCAATTTTTCTTTTCGCCTAACTCAATCTTTGGAATACTAAGTTGAACATTTGAATATTTATGTTATATAAGTGTGTATGAATTTTCATTATATGTTGAATCTAAGTACAATATATTATTTTGGTGTAATATTATATGTTATAACTCATATGTTAGATAAGATTTGATATAATTTATGAGGATAAGTACAATATAATGACTCTTTCTATATTTCCGGGCCAAATCGGGTTAAAACGGTTGACTCATTAACTCTTGACCCACTAGCTCGACCGGGTCCGGGTCAACCCGCGGGTTGACAACCTTGATGGCGACCCTTGTTTCTCCGATCATGTTTCTTACGATGATGATGCTCAAGCTCTGGAAAAAACCATTGGGGGTTACTATATTTCATAAATCATTGTCCTATGTTCTACATCAAGCTAGAACCTTGTGCCCCCTGTTTTTCTTCTGCCACGGTGGTCGTCGTCTACCGGAGGTGGATTCCCGGAGTTTCGACACTCGATGTCTGCGAAGATCTGCCAAGACTGCTTCAGTCGGGAAAACTTAAGCGGCAGTTAGGGGTTTTATTTTTTTAATTACTTAATTTGGGACATAATACAATACCGAAATTAGGAATGTTTAGAATTAAATGAGGGATAGTTGAGTAATTTCAAAGCCCCTTTAACGGTAACTTAACGGATAATTGGATGGAAGGTTAGACTCGGTACGTTTTAATATTAGAAGTGTATGTTTGTATAAAAAATTAGTAGAGGGTACGTTTGTTAATAACATAGTAGAGGCCTAGAGGGGTACAAAATGCTATTGATCCTAAAAAGTAAGGGTAAATGCCACACATTTTATATGTATTTTGTCTAGAAATAATCATTAATTTTCTCTAACATATTTTATATTTAGCATATAAATATAATATTTTCGCAAAATTGTGTTGTTTTAATTAATTTTCTTCATTCTAGTGAATTATTCTCGTACTTTTACGCTTATGTAATGTGAGAATATGTGTGAATGGGTTGAAGTTATAAAGAAAAATTATTATCCATGGATAACCGTGAAAACGCGAAACCTGAACTGGTATGTGCATGGTTTTGATATTCTACCCGTTTCGTATGTGGGTATGAGTATGGGTAAAACCCGAATGCCTTTGAGTAGGGTACTGGATATACACTATCCGCCCCCGACCCGACCCATTGCGATCCCTATCCATTATCAAACAAGTAATTTGACCCAAATCTATGCATAAATTATCTGAGTTCTTGAATGAGCTATTTGGAACCATATCCCTCATTTATACAATTCTTGATCCAAGCACCCCAAAAATGTTAGTTCAATATTAGCGCAAAATCAATATTTTTAGTTCACAGGAAAATGCAGTTACCATATAAAATTAAAATTAATGATACATTTGAATGTTGGACATTTCCCTTGCAACGTTTTTTCGTGTTATATTTGTCATTCCGAAGAGATTTCACTATATTGCCAGAGTGGTGAAAGATTTTATCATGAGTAATTATTTTGCCTATAATTTAAGTAGGCTACCGGCCAAGAATATGATCAGAACTCAGAAGTCAGAAATAAGAACAGCCGAATTGGCACCGCCAGCGCAACATATGCACGCCCAGGGACGGACCCAAATTTTGGGTAATCGATTATCCAATCCCGGTGATAATTTACGTATGGAAAAAAAAAATATAATTGATAGTTATGGACATCCCTTAAATTTGAAAAAATGATTATCCTACTGTCATTTGTGTATAAGAATATAAGTGATAGGTTTGATAATTCAAATCAAGAACACTATTATTATTAATAAACTTAATTTCCGTTGAGCTAAACTCATTTGTTGTTCGATTTTGAACAATGTGTAATAGTAAAATGACATTCCCTATCTCTAATTATTTTAAAAGCTTAACAATTAAACTAATTTCAAACTACCCTTAATTTGTATTGATTTTATGATTGTACGACAAGTGTTGAAAGAGTCTTTCAGCTTTGGGTTACATCAAGAACAAGTTTACAAATCGAATATGCGATAAGTTCGTGAATGATTGTCTAGTAGTGTATATAGAGACAATTTTTTTTTAACACTATAGACACCAAGTGTATTCTACAATTATTTTCGAATATGACAACACATCATGACTTTTTTAACCTGTACGAGTAAGGTATTTTCATATTTACAATTTTACTTTTATTAATTACTTTTATTTTTATTTAATTTATTTTTTAAAGAGGACACCCTCATAAAAAATTTCTGGATCCGCACGTCCACATTAGGGGTGGGCATCGGTTCGGTTCGGTCGAAACCGAACCGAAATTGAGTATACCGGGTCCCCCGAACTCCCTACACTTGAAACCGATCCCGAACCGAAATATAATTCGGTTCGGTTTGACCGAACCGAGTTATATTCCGGTTCGGTTCGGGATCCCGACAAACCCGAAATTTCCCACACCCTTCCCCTGCCTTCTTTTTTTCTTCCTCTCCCTTCCACACCCGAGTTATATTCCTCTCTCCCATTTCCCAACCCAAGTCCCACCCACCCACCCACCCCATCTCTCCATCTCTCTCATTTTCCCCTTCCACTCTCTCTCTCTCCCAGTTCTCTCTGGTCGTGCTCTGCTCTGCTGCTACCCCCGGCGCCGGCGATTCACGACTGGTGTGGAGAGCAGTGGAGTGGAGCTGTGGAGGGACGATTCACGATCGATTCGAAGGACGATTCACGATCGATTCGAAGGAGACTCTGGAGAGTGGAGAGGGGCAGAGGGCGAGTCCGAGAGGAGAGGCGGAGAGGGGCAGAGGGGCGACTGGCGAGGGCGAGTCCGAGAGGAGAGGCGGAGAGGGGCAGAGGCGAGTCCGAGAGCGGCGAGAGCCGAGAGGAGAGGCGGAGAGGGTTAGGGTAGGGTTTGTTTCTTCTTTTGGGTTGGGTGCTGGGCTGGGTTTGTTTCCAATGGGAGCTGGGCTGGATTTCTTCAAATGGGTTTGGGCTTGCAGCCCTTGTCCTTGGCCCATTTCCAGATTATAAACAATTTCGGTTTACGGTTCGGAAAACGGAATTCGGTTTCGGGTGGTACCACCTTGTATTCCGAATTAGAAGAATTGTGCATCCGAATCCCGATCCGAAATGAAGGGAATTCGGTTTCGGTCGGTTCGGGGTCGGTTCGGTTCGGTTCGGAGAGTTAAAACCGAACCGGACGCCCACCCCTAGTCCACATAGAATAATCGAGGGCAACCTCGTCATCCAAAAGAGAAAATTAGAAACTTCAATGATGTAAAATTGTGAACTACAAAAAAAAAATAAATAATAATAATAATAGTCGGGGAATCTAGCTTTCCTACCTTGTTCCTTCCTCCCACCAGCAGCGGACTTCCAGATCCAGCTTTTCCTTTTTAGATTAGATTACACCTCTCTGCGAGAGGAACACGGGCTTTTGTTTTGTTTGTTTGCACCCTCTGTTCACCTCATTACCAGAAAGTTCTTAATTTTTGTCTCCCGCCTGTTTGGGTTATCCGATTTCTTCATCATCATCATCAATCAAAACCGCAGAAAAAGTCAGATCTTTTTCACTGGCTGACAGAAAGGAAATTCCCAGATACCTCAAAAGAAGCTGGCTCCCCAAACCCATCAATATAAATACTAAATACCCTTTTCTTTGGAGATCTGCTGTTGTCTGTTTCTTGTAATCAAAGGTAAGCTTGGGCTAATTTCTCTAACTTGAGTGTCTATTTTGTTCATGATTCTGGGTTTTCTTTCAAGATCGAAACTTTGTTTTCCTTGATTTGTATAGATGATCCTTACTCTGCTACTACATGGACCTAAAGGGTTGTGTTTGGATCCAATTGATTATCTACTCTTGGTCATGATCCGATTTCATTTACTTGCAGTTTCGATTAGATTGAAGTGGTAGATAGGACTCTGTATCAGACTGATATGTTAGGGTGTAACAGGAGTTGTCAGTTACTGTTTAATCTGTTGCCAGTCTTAGAAGTAGTAAGTAGTAACACTCAACTCTCACTGTTAACCTTGTTTGGGAAGGGAATTCTCTCCTTTAGTGGTATTTTTGCTAACTTCTAGATTTTAATAGCTTTGTTGTAATTGCTGTGAACCTCTGATGTTAGAAGTAGAATTGGAAGCAGGATCACCGCTCTCATGGGCTGTTGAATCTGCTTTTTGAAATCAACACATGAAAGCGGTGTGCATGATTGATAGCTTCCCTTCTTGCTTGCTTTCTTAGGTCTATGAGTTCAGTTAGTCAAGATTCAAGTGGTTCTAAAAGCTGAAGGAGCTGCGGATGGTAACTGTAGATGATGTTCCACTTTGTAGGATTTCGCCTTAATGGTTTGTAAATGATATCCTTAATTTACTGTTCGGTTGTTGTTTGAATTGTCGTCTCACTTAAGACTGGAAACGGATGATTGTCTTTTTCTTTGCTCTGTGAATATTTATACCTATGATCATGTGTAGAGCTGATCTAATCGGATGTTCTGGTTGCTTATTGTTATGTTTGTGGTACAACGGGTAGACCTTGTTCTTCACCAGTTTGTGGTCTGATCAGAGAAGTAAATGGTCTGGTCCGGGACAGAACAGATGAAAATTCATAGGGAAATTGAAGACCAGAATTTGATTGAAAGCATGCTTGGTCCGCTTTAGTTCAGTCCTATCTTGCTTCGTTCCACTTTTTTTCTTTACCTTTAGAAATATCCACCAAATCAAAACCAAATTGAATTTATGTAATCCGGTCTGTGTGATCCTTATCTCTTTACATGCAGATTAGAACTTGCTCATTTACTTATCTTCTCTGAATGCAGGGCCATTTGTTCATACAGTCACACTGAGCTTCACTGCATTTGGAAATGGACCAGCAAGGACACGGGCAGCCTCCATCTAGCTCTGCCGGCCAAATGTCTTATGCTCCAAACCCATACAACCCGAACCAAATCCCGGTTCCTCAAACCACTGGCCAATTAGCTACTTCCACAGCTCAACCCTCAGGCTCTCAGCTCGCTCAACATCAAGTGGCCTACCAGCAAATCTACCACCAACAGCAGCTACAGCTCCAACAACAACTCCAGTCCTTCTGGTCGAACCAGTACCAAGAGATCGAAAAAGTCACCGACTTCAAAAACCACAGCCTTCCCTTAGCAAGAATTAAAAAAATCATGAAAGCCGATGAGGACGTGAGGATGATCTCTGCCGAGGCTCCAGTAGTCTTCGCTAGAGCATGCGAGATGTTCATACTCGAGCTCACCTTGCGAGCGTGGAACCACACAGAGGAGAACAAGAGAAGGACGCTACAGAAGAACGACATAGCTGCAGCAATCACGAGGACTGATATTTTCGATTTCTTGGTCGATATTGTTCCTAGAGAGGATTTGAAAGACGAGGTTCTTAGTTCAATCCCCCGAGGGACAGTGCCTGTTGGTGGTCCTGGCGACGGGATGCCTTACTGGGCACAACATCAAGTTGGTACTCCCGGGATGATTATGGGGAAGCCGATGATGGATCCTTCAGCGATGTATGCTCAGCAAGGGATTCCATATATGGGGCAGCCCATGTGGCCACAGCAGCAGCAGCAAGGGTCCGACCAGCAGCACCAGCACCAGCATGAATCATCTTCTGATCAGCAGTAACTATGCATGCCATGGAAGCTAATAAGTGTAAGTTTCTTAATTTGACCAACCAATATGATTGTCTGTATAGAGGCTGCCATGCCATGGATCATCTGAATCAAATCTCATTGCGTTCTTTCTCCTGTCATGTTTCAGCATCAATTGCCAATCGTTGTGTATTATAGCAATGTTATGATAGAAGAGAGGTGTAGCGAGGAACCAGTAGGAGCAGGCGAGAACAAATCTTCAAGAGAAGTCTGGTGAATGATCGTCGTTTCTGGAAGAAGAAGAAAAAACAGAAGTTGGATGTTTAGTTGCAGGTGTGTAACAGTGTAAATATAGTATTGCTAGTACTTGGAGGAATATCTCTTAGTAGTCGCCTGAACCAGCTATGTCCTGCACTCCTGCTTCACTCGACTTGGTTGCTTTAGTTTGTTGCTTCTTTCCAATCATGTGTAATACAACTACTATATGTCCTCTACAACTTGCCTATCAGATTTCATGTTAGTTGTTGAACCACCTCTGAGAGTCATGCGGCCTGCCCAACTCATTTTCCAGATACTTGTTGCTGGCCATTTTCAATACCAAATTTAGGATCACTGCTTAATTTGCCGATTCTCTCCTATTTGGCCCCTGCTGCCGAAGCATGAACAGTCTCTTACGGACCTTGGACATGTTCCAGCTGTGAAGCAAGCAGAGGCGCTTCAGTCTCATGAAAAATGCAAGAATTTTGGTAAACCCTTATGGGAAATGAACTCATTAAGCAGCTGATTGTTCAGTTGTTCCTGTTAGCCTATTCTGATTCTCTAGGAAGGCAACTAAATATCTTGCAGCTGCATTGTTAGGTGCTACTAAATATCTAGGAAGGCAAATTTCACAAGAACTACTTATACTTGCCTATTCCTTTCCAATTGGTCCTTATTTGGTGCTTCGCGATTTCATGAAAGATCGAGAATGGATATATATGAAAAGGAAAGACAATGACCTTTTGGTGGGAAGCTCATTACTAGAAAACAGTTCACTTCCAGTGACAAAATTCCTTTTGTATGTGGGGATGGCTTCTGACATGATTGTTCCTGGGGCTTGAAGGGTTTTTATGGCACAGCTAGCTATACTGACAGAGAAAGGTGGAAACTTTTTTGCCTAGAGAGTGAAAGCCAACCAACCTTCTTAATGGTGTGAACTAGTGAAACCAATGAAACTACTTAATATGGTGTGTTCTATGTGTTTTCAGCAAGCAAACTCTTGAAATATCTAAATTTTGGTTCTGTCAAACAAAGACAGAATGAAAAACAGATTTCTTGACAGAGGAAACTCCGGAGGCTGTTCAATCCATGGCAGGAAGCATAACAAGTGTGTGATTTTTCCTGTGGAAGTGAATGTGGTTGCTGAAGCTATTGACAGAATAAACATGACTTGGTACGAGTCAGTTTCTGTGTTTCTGGTTTTTGAATCTATTCGAATTCCGTAGAGCTATTATGAGAGTTGTGTATCACTAACTTCAGATTGATTTTTTCGATTGCAGGATTGTTAGGGCAAAGGTAGCTGAAACTGATTTGATCATTCAAGTTGGAGATTCCAACTTCCATGTTCACAAGGTAAGGCAATTTTATAACAATCATGAGGTCCAAGAACAAATTATGAGTACTTTTCTCTGTTTCTCAGCTTGCTATGGTGTCCAGAAGTGCATATTTGAACAGATTAGTGTTCCAGGAAAGAAACAACAATCTGCAAAATTCCATCCCCACCATCCTTCTACACAGTCTCCCCGGTGGGGCTGAAACTTTCGAGCTCATACTGAAGTTCTGCTATGGATGGAAGATCGATCTAACCCCAACCAACATCGCACCCATCTACTCTGCTGCAAATTTCCTGGAAATGAACAATGAGATGGAACAAGGCAACCTGATCTCCAAGACCGAAACCTTTCTAACTTACTTGCTGCTATTATCTTCATCGTGGAAAGACATCTTCACCATCTTCAAAAGCTGCGAAGAAACCGTTTCCTCTTGGGCCAAAGAGCTTCATATCCTCAGATCTGGAATAGAAAATCTGATCATAAGGTTACCTCCTGAGCAAGAAAGCTCCCTTCCTTGCAACTTCTTGCTTCACCTTCTCAAGTTTGGGAACTCCGTGAGGGCAGATAGTGAGTTATTGGCTGGGGTAGAAGAAAGAGTTGCTGATAAGCTGGAGGTCTGTAGGGTTTCAGATCTCTTGGTTCAGAATTCTACCAATAGAAGTACTACTCTCTATGATGTGGGAATTGTGGCAAAAGTTTTGGAGACGTATGTTTCTTGTGCGAAAAGAAATCCAGCAGCGACATTGCTTGTTGTTGGGAGGCTGATTGATGAGTATCTGACAGTTGTTTCTAGAGACAGTAGACTTCCTGTGAAGAGCTTCCTTTCAGTGGCAGAAGCCTTGCCAGATTCCGCGAGGATTTGCCACGATAACCTCTACCGCGCCATTGACTTCTACCTCAAGGTAACAGAAAACAAACTAACGCCTTCTTCATACCTTGCAAGAGAACCAGCTGATGATTGCAGGAAAGCTACGCGCTGTGGAGCAATTCTTGCATTCGACTCTATACCATTCGGTTTTACATAATAAAAAAACTTGATTGTTTACAATCGCGTATTGCAGGTACATCCTAAGCTGTCAGAGGAAGAAAGAACAGGTATATGCAGGGCCATGGACTACCACAAGCTGTCGCAGGAAGCTCAGAAGCACGCGATAAAGAATGATAGGTTGCCATTGCATCAGACGGCGATGATCATTATGGCTGAGCAAGTGAAGATGACAAGGTCGATAACTTGTGGAGGAAGTAGTTACCAGCATAGGGCAAAGAGACAAGCCAGTTTGAAGATTGGCAACTGCGACATGGAGAAAGGATGGCTATATTCGCCACGAAATGAGATCAGGATGATGAAGAAGGAAGTCGAAGCTATGAAAGGGCAAATAAATGAGTTGCAGGTTTGTAGGTTGAAGATGCAGCAGCAGTTGAAGAGATGCCATATATAAAATGGTTCACAAAATGAGACAGCTATATGAAACGAAATTTGAACGTTAATTCAAGTCAAACTAGTGAGACTCATGGTTCACAACATGAGACAGCTATACTTGCAGAACCGTGTAAAATCTATCATATCAATATGTAACCGATAAATGCTTCAACGGATCCAATCCGCCGATACGGCAAGATAGGTGAAGATGGAGTCAAAAGGCTAAATGGTATTTGATGAGAAACAAGTCATTTATAATTGAGTATGCTGTTATTTGAGCCCCTGAATCATGAATTTCAACGATTAAATTCCCTAAATTATTCATTTCTTACATTAGGGTGCCTTTGGATAATTTTCTAGTAGTCTCTCAGGTTTTAGTTTGTTTAGACTAAAAATTTCGTTTTCTAAATTGAACATCGACTAATACTTTTTTTCCAAGAGGTACTCATTTTTACGAGATTTCATTAGATCTATAAAATTGCCACAAAGACCGAATCCAAGCACATAAATTGAAACTGACACACCCCATCAGAAAGAGGTTGAGGGCAGGGGTGTAGTCAATATTTCATCTAAAATGGTTTCACTTAGGAAAAAAATACACACGATAAAATAGCTTTTGTTGACTTTTTTAATTAATCGTGATGTAGTCTTATATTTAAAACTTTTTTGTAAATTAAAATACATTAGTAGACAAAACTATCAAGAATATCACTATTTGTGTACCAAATAATTATTTTTATTTACATAGTCTTTCACTTTCGAGTGGCATTTTTTGTCAAGAACCATTTAGTATCAATAACTCGAGTAATTGATAGAGGTTTAATAATAAATCTTATATCAAACAATTATTCATGATTTAGTTAGTTGTTCACTTTCGAATGATGTTTTTTGTGATCAAGAACCGTTTAGTATCAATAACTCAAGTTGTTGGGAAGAGATTCAGTAATATATCTTATACTAGATTTGGGCTCGCCAGTTGGCCGGATGTATAACATCAATAGTATAAACAGATTAGCAAATGCCTAAATATAAGTTTTCTTGCATATCTATCATATCATCATGATATGATGATCCATCTCCATCGTTTCAATTCAATACAAAAAAAAAAAGCGCCATTAAGATATAAACATTGATATCCATTTTGTTACGTTTTGTCAAGCATAAGACCCCATACCGACATCATATCATTGTTATACCGACATCATATATGTGTCATGGTCTGATGCTGTTATATTTGGTTGTAAATGGCTGATCCCAGTTTCTTTGCTGCTATATTTGGTTGTAAATGGAGTAGTGAACCTCTCAAATACCTGGGGTTCCCGCTCGGAGCCAAGCCAAATGATCCAAGGATATGGGATTCTCTGCTTGACAAATTTCAGAACAAATTGCCTAGGTGGGGGAGTAAGCTTCTGTAGTCGGGGGCAAGATTAGTTCTGTGCAAAGCAGTCCTTTCCAGCATGCCGACGTACTTGTTCTCGCTATTTAAGGCACCCGTCTCGATTATCAAGGATATGGAAAAGGTTCAGAAGAGGTTTATGTGGAATGGTAAGGGAGAGTCTAAGAAAATGGCTTTGGTAGACTGGAATATCTGCAAATGCGAGACAAAAAAAGGGGGTCTTGGTATCCATGACCTTAAGGCCTTTAATGACTCGATGTTATCCAAATGGTTGTGGAGATATGCAACTGAAAGAGACAGCTGGTGGCGTCAGTTAATTGCTATAAAATATCAACACCCCGAATCAGTGTGGCAGACTGTGAGAGTGAGACAGGGTTTGGGCAAACATATCTAAGGAGTATGATCTGTTTTGGAACTTTGAAAGTCTAGAACCTGGAAATGGATCTTCGATCTCGTTTTGGCATGACTGCTGGACACTAAGGATGATACTGTCTAAATCGTTCCCCTGCGTTGTTGCTGCCGCTGTTGTCCCTGATGCGAGCCTGGCCGACGTTGCAATCCTTAACAACCCTGATCAGGTGAGTTGGTACATTCCTTTGAGATTTAATTTAAGAGGTGGTGTTGAG